AGTTATTGAATATATTATATAAAATTGGTTTATATATTAAGCCTGCTAATAATAAATATCACAGGAAATTTTATAATAAACCTATTATAATATTTATATTCCTAACTTTATACATAGTCGTAAAGTTTATTCTAGTACTCCATAATGACCAGGAACATATCCATATCATACTAGGAGACTTTGGTTATTTCTATGGACTTCGACAATATTGGAGTATTTGCTTCATATTGCTAAGTAATTTGGCCTTATACTCGCAATTAATTATGTATTACAACCATAAAAATGGTATATATTTTCAATTTATGAAAATATTTGAAGTACTATCTGGAGTCCGGACCCCCAGTTCCATAGGCCTAACGACTTGCGCCGGTATTACAAAATTGGCTAAACTTTCAAAGTTATTATTCAATGTTATTTATATAAATAACATTTATGTCATGCCATTTATGACGTTATTTTTGACAATCGTTGGCTATTTTGTGCATGCTACAATTTATGATACATTATTATGGGGGTTACCTAATGGTATGATATTTTGGGTATGGGGCTACTACACATGGAATATTGTCTTCTACCAATTACTTTATTTTTATATAATTTGCAAATATCTAATTATTAAAGTAAGGTCATTGCATAACATTTGTCTACCGGGTCAGCTCATAAATTATGTAAAACTTTTAAGAGATTTTTCAGATTTATATACAGAAGTCAATCGATATAATACAGAATATTGGTCTCTATTTTTGACATCATTTTGGGTTAACTTTGGATTATTTAATGTACTGCTTTTGTTCATGGTCATTTTTAGTCCCATGTTATTGTATCTAAGAATTGTGTGCATCTATGTGTTGACAGTATTCACGTCGCTATTTATATACATTATATTCACGGCATCGGCCGTCAATTACGAGTCAAATAAATCATTTAAATATTTTATTAAACTTTATATTTATGGCGATAAAACTTATAGACATAACTAAATATATTATTTATTAAATATTATATTATGCAATTTATTTATAAACAATTAAATTGACACAATAAAAGTATTTAAACTAAATAGTATAAACACTACCCAAATATTCAATATTTTACCATTAACACCTGACCCTGGTACACATTTACGGCCGTTATCAGGATCCTCCACAAACAAGTCAGTGCAGCCACACTTGCCATCCCTACAGTTTCTCATGAGATCCCAGGGGTATAACCGATCGCATCGACCGCACGGCGTTATCATACACTTCCCCTCCACAGCACTCCAGCCATACTCGGGAGCGCACCGGCACTTCCCATCCACACAGAGCTCGTGGTCACCACAATCGCCATCAGCCCCGCATACCGGTGCCCAATGTTCCGTACATACCCGGCCATTAGTGGTGTCCTCCCTGAGTATATCATTATTACAAACACACTTCCCGTCCGCACAGACCCTCAATACGTCCCAACTCTGGCGACAGTTATCTGGACTACTGGTGCACTTGTATGGCTCGCATTTGTCTGACACGGGACTGTATTTATAGTCCGGTGCGCACCTACACTCTCCTGATACACAGAGTTCGTTAGGGTCTGTACCGCATGGACAGGTAGGCACGTACTCCAGGTCACATTTATAGCCATTATTAGGGTTTTGGCGACTTATGTCCAGACATACGCACGTTTTGGTGGTTGTATCACAAGTACGTAACAAGTCCCACGAGTTTGCGCACTGACTGGCTGTAGTACAGGTATATTTTTGACATACCGTACCGTCGGACTGGTAGTTAGCCGCACACCTACAGGTGCCGTCGACACATACCTCGTTGTTATTTGTATTACAATCGCTGTTTGTTGAGCATTGGGTCACATCGGGGACACATTTGATGCTAAATATTATACATAGGCTCACAAATAAATGTAATTTATTAAACATATCTAAACTTGAACAAATAATTTGTTAATACTCAGAATATTAAATTAATCCAAATTAAATATATTATATAAAATGTTTAAGGTACCCAGTTTATATACATTTTCTCTACGCTATTAATTATACATCCTTTAGTATACTTTAAAAAATAAATTTATTTATTACAATTAACTGATGACTAAGTTCATTAGTACACATTATAAAAATATTGTTTAATAATGTTGAAATCTACAATTATACCTATGATACGAATAATACAATACTACAGATATTGTAACATAATAGAGATCTAGGCTTATTTTATAAGTTAAGTACATAAAGCTTAGCAACATTATTACTGCACTTAATGTACATGTACCTACTAGAGATTAGATTATTCGTAGAGGATTAATAAAAAAGTAATATAATTTAATGCATATTATTCAATTATAAAATGTCATTTAAACTATTTATTAAAATTTAGAATTTAAATCTAGATTCTAGATAGATAAGCATGAATTTATTTTTTAAATTAATAATATATTTAATTTATTTATTAAGTATTTTAAAAATATCAATAGTATGGATCATACTGATTAATTGGAAACTATTGATAAATTTCTAAACTATCCACCACCAATTGGTACGGATTTAATAATTTGATAAGTAAGGGCATCCAACCACTCGGAGGGCACATACGTACAGTATACTTGAAATAGCCTGGCCAATAGTCCCTGTACGGGTTGATACCTAATACTGGGCTCAACACTTTGTACGGCATCTATCATATCATTGACCACTACATCGATATCATCACCCGATCGCCATATGTTATGCACATTCATGACCAGTTTCCTCTGAGCTCGGAAATAGGAGGTGCCGTAAGTCTCCTGTATATCCTGACTGGTGTTATTCCAGGTGCGCTCCAGTATGTCAACTGATTGGCTAATTTGGTTTATATTTGTGCGGAAAGAAGCCGGTTCAATGGTACTGACCCGTACACCAAACCCATGCAACTCCCGGCGCAATGTGTCCGAGAATGCGATCATCGCGTGTTTGGACATACCGTACACTCCGAGTCCGTTCATAGAAAAACGACTTAAACTACTGACCATGTTTATCATGCGACCTGACATAAATTAATAATAATAGACATATTAGCCTCAAACCTTTTAGTCGCTAATCAGCTTGGGTACAGTTCCCCTCGCAAGTAAGTATTATATATTAATTTTTATAATTTTATTGTTTATCATAAATAAATTAGTAATGATTATGACAATAAATATTAAACTTTGTGATATTGTATACCTCAATCTGTACAACTGTTCATATAAACATATAAAAAATTAACAATTTAATACAAAGTGTCACAAATACCATGATAAATAAATTAAGTTAAACTATGGAAATTGATTTATATTATTTACAATAAATATTTATTATAACATTTTGCTAAAATGTGTTAAATATGGGCATTAATAAGACGCAAATAATGTCACAATTTAAAGCTGACAGTAAGTACTAATCCGTACAATCATTACTGACATACCTTTTGAAGCCTTAATGAGCGGTAGGAAAGTCCGCGTCACTCGTACGCCACCGAAGGTGTTGACGGCAAACACCCGGTGGTAGTCATCCATTGATCCCCATTCCAGTGGACCTACAGTTGCTATACCGGCGTTGTTCACCACTGACCACAAACAATCACCATTTTCACCAAGGTGTTGTGACACCTTTTCACAAACTCGTTGAACATGGTCACCATTAGTGACATCCATTTCCCAGACATGGATTTTATCTGAAAATCTACACTTTGTGATCAATTCCTTAGCCCCTGGACTCGACTCTGATATAACAGTGGCGTAGACTCTAAACCCCCGTTCATTTAGACATAATGCCAACCTATGGCCAAACCCTGTGTCGCATCCTTTAATATACAAAAATGATATACAATTAACAAAAGTTATTTTAGCTTGGAGTTAAAAAATAACTTAAATATACCTGTAATTAAAACCGCCTTTCCCAGTGATGATAAAAATACTTTTGGCTTATATTTACGCCACAAAACTGTAACAAAATGTGAGCACACAAATAAGGCACAAATTGATAAAATAGTTTTCATTATTGGGAAAATAAGTATTAGTATTAACTGTATTATAAATGCAATTAGAAATTGAATTAAAAAAGTTGACATTTTAGTCGTATTTGAAATTACAATATACTGTACTGTATTTGAAAATTAACTAATTTTATTTTTGCAGCTATTACTTACACGTTATAACAATTAATAATTGTCAATTATATTAAAACAACGGTGGTATATTTTTATTTTTTAACCACTTTTATAACAGAAATATTAACACCAATATTTCCTTAATAATTTTTTAGCAAACTATAATTTCCTTTTAACAATATTTTACTTCTAAATTAATTTTAAATTATTAATTTGTTTTAAATTGTTAAGCTTGTGCTTGATATTTATATAATAGAAATAACATGATTAATTTTATATAATACATAATATAATTTATAAACAATAATTATTATCTAGAATTTAATAAAATAAATTAGCATAAATAAATAAATTCATCACACACTATGAATATTAAAATTATTTATTTAGGGTATGTTAATTATAACTTATAAATAAATAGAATTAAATTATAAAATTATAAAAATTATAAAATTAAAATTCATATTGATAAATAAATAATATTTATTAAACTCATTATAAACTTCAAAGTTATCTAGCACCAATAGTTACAGATTTATTAGTTTCATAAGTAATAGCATCCAACCATTCAGTGGGCACATATATGCTAATCAATATATACAGTCTGGCTATTAACCCCTGTACCGGTTGGTAGCAAGTCCTGGGTTCAACACTTTGTACGGCATCTATCATATCATTGATCACTATATTGATATCATCGCCCATTCGCCATAACTTATCCACTTTCATAGACAGTTCCTTCTAAGATGCCAAATAGGAGGTGCCGTAAGCCTCCTGTACCTCACGACTAGTTCGACTCCATGTGCCCTCCAGTTTGGAACGGATACGGACACAGTCGGCAATATTTGTGCGAAAAAATGCCGGTTCAATGGTACTGACCCGTACACCAAACCCATGCAACTCCCGGCGCAATGTGTCCAAGAATGCGGTCATCGCGTGTTTGGACATACAGTATATTCCGATAATATTGGTTGAGAAACGACCTGACATACTGACCACGTTCACTACTCGACCTAGTGTACATTAATAGAAAAAAATAGGTATAAATTCATATAAATTAACAATATTGAAACAAAATTAATTTTATTTATAAGATACAGATAATAAAATTTTTAAACCTAATTTTCAATACTATTATATCTGCTGTAAATACATTATAATATGTACTCATTTTAACTCTACTTTAATATGATTTACAATACTGTCTTAAATAATATAATTTATAATATCATAATTATCGATAATATTTTTAAAATAGTTTTTAAAATGTTAAGAAATGTTAATACCTTTTGAGGCCTTAATGAGCGGCAGGAAAGTCCGCGTCACTCGTACGCCACCGAAGGTGTTGACGGCAAACACCCGGTGGTAGTCATCCATTGATCCCCATTCCAGTGGACCTACAGTTGCTATACCGGCGTTGTTCACCACTGACCACAAACAATCACCGTTTTTACCAAGGTGTTGTGACACCTTTTCAAATACTCGTTGAACATGATCATCACTAGTGACATCCATTTCCCAGACATGAATTTTATCTGAAAACCTGCATTTTGTGAGCAATTCTTTAGCCCCTGGACTAGACTCCGATATAACAGTGGACCCTGAACCCCCTTTCATTCAGACATACGGCTAATCTATGACCAAATCCCGTATCACAACCTTTTATAATATTAATAAATTTAGTTTGTATTGAAGTAAATATTTAGTATAATAAATATATCTCAGTTGTATAAGTTTATTTGTTGTAATAAATAGTTTTTAAATTAATTAATGATATAAAACATACCTGTAATGAGTACAGCCTTTCCCATAGATGTAACCATTACTTGAGTTTTATATTTACGCCATAAGACTGTTATGAAATGTGTGGACACAAATAGATCACAAATTGACAAAATTGATTGTATTAATGAAAAACAATAAATTAATATTAACTGTATAGCAAATACAATTAGATACCCAGTTAAATGTGCCATTTTTAACAATTATTAGTTTATAAAATAAAATAATAAAATTAGTATTTAGATTTAATATTACACTGCTAAAAACTCTATTTCATCTATTTTAAAGCATAAAAGTCAAATTTATTTATAATAATTATTTATTTTCTAATTATATTTAATAAATACGACATTAAACACAAATTTTATTTAACCACATCTGCCGCTATTCAAAATTGTCTACCATTTTCATTTAATTCCGTTGAAAATTAATTTTAATAATAATTTATAAAGATTAACTAATTTATATTAATGCAGTTATTATTTATATTTATCAAAAAATATATTATAACTAATGTAATATATATATTATTATATATATTTTTTGTTTAACCACTTTTATAACAAACATAATAGGCTATTATTAATAGCACTAATATTTCCTTTTAGAAAATATATTTTACTTGTAAATTAATTTAAAATTAGTAAATTAGTTTGTGCTAAATATTTACACAATAGACAAGTATAATACAGTATAATTTATGTATAATTATCTACCATTTAATAAAATAAATTAGCATAAATAAATAAATTCATCATACACTAGAATTATTGAAAATATTTATTTAGATACATTAGTTATAACTTATAGAAATTATAAATTTAAATTAAAATTAATAGTGATACATAAAGAATATTTATTATATTCCTTATAAATCCTCAAGATTATCTAGCACCAATAGGCACAGATTTATCAATATGATAAGCAAGCACATCAACCCATTCAGTGGGCGCATATATGTTAATCAACACAAACAGCCTGGCTATTAGCCCCTGTACCGGTTGATACCTGACCCTAGGCTCAACATTTTGCACGGCATCTATCATATCATTGATCACTATATCGATATCATCGCCCATTCGCCATAACTTATCGATATTCATAGACAGTTGTTTCTGAGCCGCCAAATAGGAGGTGCCGTAAGTCTCCTGTACCTCTCGACTAGTTTGACACCATGTGCGCTCCACTCCGTTACCGGCACGGCTACAGTCAGCGATGTTTGTGCGAAAAAATGCCGGTTCAATGGTACTGACACTAACACCAAACCCACGCAACTCCCGGCGCAATGTGTCCGAGAATGCGGTCATCGCGTGTTTGGACATACAGTAGATTCCGATCAGATTGGATGAAAAACGTCCCAACATGCTGACCACGTTCACTATACGGCCTAGTATACATTAATAGAAATAAGTAGATAATACATATAGAAATAATAATACAATGGGAAAATACATATGACTTCATATAAATATTATGGTTCATAAATGTTACCAGTAACCAAAGATAAATATTTAATTTTAATTATTAATTTTGTTATAATATAATTATAACAAGCTAAGCTAACCGCGTTATTTAATTCGTAATTAACTAATATATAACTTTCAAAAATACATAACCTATTACTGCATGTTGTTTTTTCATATGCTCTAAGTTTAATAAGGTGATATTTCACCTTTACTTTAATATGATTTTACAATATTGTTTATATTTATAATTATAGCACTAATATTTAAAATATTGTGGTAAGCCTTCTGAAAATAAATACCTTTTGAGGCCTTAATGAGCGGTAGGAAAGTCCGCGTCACTCGTACGCCACTGAAGGTATTGACGGCAAACACCCGGTGGTAGTCATCCATTGATCCCCATTCCAGTGGACCTACAGTTGCTATACCGGCGTTGTTAACCACTGACCACAAACAATCACCATTTTCACCAAGCTGTTGTGACACCTTTTCATAAACACGCTGAACATGATCATCGTTAGTGACATCCATTTCCCAGACATGAATTTTATCTGAAAATCTGCATTTTGTGAGCAATTCCTTAGCCCCTGGACTAGACTCTGATATAACAGTGGCGTAGACCCTAAACCCCCTTTCATTCAGACATACGGCTAATCTATGACCAAATCCCGTATCACAACCTGTTTATAATATTAATAAATTAAGTTTGTACTGAAGTAAATAAATTATTTAGCTTAATAAATAGATTTTTATAAATATGTTTATTTACAGTAATAAATTTTTAAATTAATTAATCATATACTGTAAAGACATACCTGTAATAAGTACAGCCTTTCCCATAGATGTAACCATTACTTGAGTTTTATATTTACGCCATAAGACTGTTATGAAATGTGTGGACACAAATAGGGCACAAATTGACAAAAATGTTTTAATCAATGAAAAACTATAAATTAATAATAACTGTACTGTAAATACAGTTAAATATTGAGTTAGATGTGTCATTTTAGCAATAATTAGTTTAGAAAATATAATAATAAAAATATTATAATTTATAATGTTACATTACTAGCAATTCTATCTCATTATATGATATTTTAAAACCTAAACATACAATTTTTATATTTATAATTTTATAACAATTATCTATTTTCTAATCATTATTAATAAATAGGACAGTAAAACAAATTTTATCTAACCACATATGCCGCTATTCAAGGTTGGCATATTATTATGTTTACTATTTCCCTTAATTTTAAAAATAATTTATAAAGATGTTTAATTTTAAATTACAATACTGTATGTAGCGAATAAAGTTTATGATAATAATTATTTTCAATAACAAGTAATATCAAATTGATAATTTTCTTTTAATCAGTGTCCCTGATAGTACACAAAATTAGTAAATTTAGTGCTATGTGTACTCAATTAGTACTACTGATAACATACATTTAATAAGTAAAATTCTATAAATATTTGATTAACATACACAATTCTTAATAAACTTATAAATAATTTTTTAACACAATTAAAAACTCTTACGATATAGTAATTAATTATTAATATTACTTCTTGTGGATAATTTTCATTATTAAAATAAATAGCAATACAATATAATATTTAATATTAATATAAATATAAAAATACGGTAATTATTAAATTGATATAAATTAAACAAAAATACATAAATTATGTATTTGAAATGTACTAATATACTAATAATAAGCCTTGGTCATACAGGTTCTTTACACCCATATACTGTACTATACTTTGAATACTGGACAGTACTTCACATTTCAATAAGTTTTTGAGGCATTCATTTCCAATACACTCGCACTCACCAGACCTACCCGTCCTCAACACATCCCATGAAATTCATACATTTATCACTCGGACTGTACTGAAGCCCCACATACCAACCCCCAGTGGCCCTCCATATATAGTTAGGTGAGCACCGACACATCCCGTCCAGACACATCTCATTTGGATGAGTACAGTGTAAATCGCTATGATATACCGGCGCCCGGACACTATGTCTATAGTTATAGTCTATAACTTATAGATATTATAACTATATATAGATATAGATACTATATAGATACTAGTTATAGATATAGGGAATTTGGTTAATTTCAAGCGCCATTTTATGCATTAATTAAATCTTTGACCAGTGAAAAGTATTTGATAAAATTTCAAAATTATTCATCAAATATTTATAGCTATTTAGCATTATTTATTTTTGAGATATAGATTAAATGATTTTAATCACTACGACTATAATGACAAGTAAAACTTAAAATCAATTATCAGGATAAATACAATCTTGTATTTTTCACTAAAAATAGACTTTAATTAATACAATTAATATTAACTTATAATATTTCAAAAGTATTAGTAGGAAGTTATAGTTAACAAAACTTTATATTATAAAGATTTAAGATTTAAAACATTAAATTATTTTTTATTAAACAAATCATATTTCTAAAAATACATATTTTATTATTTGTTTGAATATTATATAATACTATTATATTTTAACATTTATTAACCCGGTTAATTAATATATAGACAGGTATTATATAGATTACCGGAGCTAAGACACTAATAATGAATATAGCACATGTCCATACCGGTGCAGTAGTGGTCTGGTATTCGCAGTTAATTACATTTAACTGGTTTTCCTTATAGTCATTATGGGTACACTCGTTATTACCCGACCTATTACACCATGATAATAATTAATATTTTAATTAACGAGTAACATGTAAAATACTAAAATACCCTTGACCACACATACCTGGGAGTAGATTGGTATTCACATTTGCGACCATTTATAGGGTTCTCCGCATATCCATCGCCCGCACACTCGCACCGACCCGACCGACACGTCCGCAT